CTAACTGGTCTGTCCCAGTGCTAATAGACCCACTCCAATCTCGGGAACCTTTCCTGAGCTACTAAAATCACCTCCAATCTCCGATCTTTGTTGCTACCTCCAATCTCCAATCTCCGTTGCTGCCTCCAACATTCGAGTTCTTATTTTCTTCTAAAGTTCTTACTTTTTAGTTCCTGAAAATCTGATTCAGGTACTCGAACCAATTAAACCCCCAATTTTATTTGTTGAAAAACAAATCGGAAATCAGCTGAGTTATTTCCAGATTTCCCCAAACACTAACAAGCATTACGTGTGTGTGTTCATCTTCACCTGATTGTTCATCTTCATCTGGTGTATAACTTTGGGGTTTATTTTTGAATGTAGAGAACTTCATGACTGGGTACAAAATCGTATTTGATAGATAAGAACTTATTCTTGGGTGGAGAAAGTCTGATTCTAAGTTCCGATTTTTAGAAGTTAAAACAAGAATTGAAATCAATTTTTTATACTGGTTGTTCTTTCTTGTTCATGAAGGTTACGATATTGAGAATTCAAGTGATTCAAGTTCAAAACCATTGAACCCTAACAATGTTCCGCCGGCGGTGGCGACAGGGCTGGAAGGTCGCCGTGAGCGGAGCATAAGCACAGGTCGGAGCTCTGGTGGTTACTGTAAGCGATTTTGTTATTCGATCCAAACGTGGATTTGCCTTTGCCTGTTGGTTCTATTGGATCTTTTGTTGTAGATTCGTTTACTTTTTGTATTGAGAAACGCCAATAGAAAATCTTATAGTATCTTTGATGAATTTTTGAATAGAAATATTTGTATATATGTTACAGATGAACGTTTTCATAAATATAGTCCAGTTGTTCCAATTACGGTTCTTCAGTTGAAGCTTTCACTTAATTTTGTGATTCTATCTACACATTTGAACTGGTTCGAGCCTTCATTTGTTAATGGCGTCAAGATCTCACAGTGGGAATCTAGGGTTTCAGGAAACATTAAGTTTGGGGTATTAGATGTGGTGAATTGGAGGCATAGTCGGAAATTTTCATTTGATACATGAGCAAATTTATTCAAAGAACAAAATTCGGTTGATATTAAAAGAATAATGGGTTCAATCGATGATTACTAAGCAATTAATTACATGCTAGTGTGTATTCATATGTTGAGAGAGACACCCTTTGCATATTATTTTTTTTTCTTTTTTTATAAAATAAGAAAAAACATCATAAACGGTCTCTATGGTAGTGAAATGACGAAAATGCCCTTCAGTTAACGGACAAAACTTAACGGAGTTAGCAATAAGGATCAATAATCAAAAGTTTTAAAAGCACAAGGACCATCTATGATGTTTTTAAACCACGGGAACTAAACTTCAAATCTGGGAAAACCACAGGGACCATTTATGATGTTTTTTCTTTTATTTATCGTCAAAATCTCGCGAGATGATATGACATTGTTATAATTAATTCCGAGATTTTAAAAATAAATAAATAAATAAAATTAAAAAATTAAAAAAAACGAAAAAAAATTAAAATCTTTAAAACCGAGCATATATCAATTTAAAAAAAATTGAATTTTTTTTAATGAAAAATAAAAAAAATTAATAAAAAAAAAACCAAAGTAAATGAAAAAGAAAAGAAAAACTCATTTAAATGACGTTCCATGAACGTTCGTCGCACATGATTATTTTCTCGAGTTCGTATTACGTTTCATTCACGTGCGCCACATGCGAACGCGTCAAGACCAAGCAATGGGTTTGACGTTTGTGCCATTCACGAAATGATTGGTGGAGAATAATCTTCACGGTTCCTACTAATATTTGGGTTCCTACCGGATCCAGATTA